TTTTGTGGAACCAGGGATTGAACTCAGGCCTTTGCACTTAGCAGGGAAGCGCTTATCCCACTGAGCTATCTCCCTGCCCCCCTGTGACTTTTTCTTAATTGTCTTTCTCCAGTTTGGTATCACGGTAATGCTTGCTTCCAGGAATGAATTTGGGAGTATTGCTTACCTTTCATTTTCACTGAAGAGTCTGAGAAGTAGCGATGTTAGGTCTTTTTTAAATTTCTTGTAGAATTCAGCAATGAACCCATCAGAGCCTGGGCTATTCTTTGTTGGTAGGTTTTTTAACTCTGTCTTCAATTTCATTGTTTGATATTGGTTTATTTAGGATTTGTAAGTCTTCTTGGTTCAGCTTTGGTAATTCATATATATCTAGAAATCTGTCCATTCTCCATTTTCTTTTTTCTTTTTTTTTTTTTTGCAGAACTGGAGATTGAACTCGGGCCCTTGTGCTTGCCAGGCAAGCACTTACTGTACTGAGCTATCTCCCTGGCTCCATTTTCTATCTTATTAGAATACAGGTTTTCAAAGTAGATAGAGATGATCTTCTGGATTTCTTTTCTCTTTTTTACAGAACCAGGGATTGAACCCAGGCCCTTGCCAGGCAAGCACATATTCTACTGAGCTATCTCCATGGCCCTAATCTTCTGGATTTCTGCAGGGTCTATTGTGATTTCACCCTTTCATTCCTAATTGTGTGGATTTGAATCTCTTCTTTTTTTGATAAGGTTGAATAAAGGTTTGTCAGTTTTATTCAATCTTCCAAAGAACCAAACCATATATTATATATTTTTTTTAGTCTCCAAAGCATTAATGATTCACTCCCTCATATGATTGGGGACTTGGTCTGCTCTCTTTTTCTAGAGGTTTCAACATTAAGTTGTTTATTTCCACTTGCTCTGTTTTCCTGATACAGGTTATTCACTGCTATTAACTTCATGCTTAGGACTGCTTTCATTGTGTCTCATAAGTTCTAGTATGTTGTATTGTCATTGAATTGTAGAAACTAATTTCTTAATTCATCTGCGATCCATCGATTGTTCAGGAGAGTGCTATTTAGTTTCCATATGTTAATGAACTTCTTGTGGTTTCTTTTGTCATTGATTTCCAATTTCATCACACTATGGTCTGATAATATGCATGGGGCAATTTCAGTTCCTTAAGCTTTTTCTGTGTGCTGGTATGTGGTCTGTTTCGGAGACTATCCCATGTGCAGCTGAGAAGAATGTATGTTTTTTCAGAGGTGGGGTGGGGAGGAGAGGGTACTAGGAATTGAATTCAGGACCTCATGCTTGCCAGGCAAGCACTGCACCACTGAGCTAAATCCTCAGCCCCAAGAATGTATATTCTGGTGTTGTAGGGTGGAACACTGTAGATATCTACTATGTCTATTTGTTTAAAGGTTTGGTTCCATTGTAATAGTTTGTTGTTAATTTTTTGTCTACTTGATTTGTCTCTTTGTGACAGTGGGGTAGGGAGATCCCCAGTACAGTTGTATTAGTGCTTTTTTGATTTTTCATTTCTATTTGTTTTATATAGTGTGGTGCACTGGTATTTGTTGCGTGTTTATTTATGATTGTTATCTTTTCCTCTTGGATTGTTCCCTTTACAAAATATGTATTGACTTTATCCTTATCCTTGTTGTGTTATTTTTCTGGTTTTGGTGCCCACACTCCCTTTTCCCCTATGTAACTGTTTGCCTCGTCTGGTGGGTTCTTTCTGTTTATGTTTAGTCCTTGTTACCTCTTTCTGGAATGTGCTTCAAAATGTTTAGATGTGCTGGTTTGGTGGTTATTAAATTTGTTCAGGTGTTGTCATAGAAGTGCTTTTCTTCTCCATCAATTTTGTAGGATTTGTGTTTCGCGTTAATCTGGGATGGAGGTTGCTTTTTTTGGGGGGGTTGAAATACTATACTACAAGCTCTCATTTACTTGAGTGTTTGTGCTGAGATGTCAGCTGTGATTCATCAAGGCTTTCCTTTATAGGTGATTTGTTTCTTTTCCCTAAGAGCCTGTAATGTCCTATTCTTGTGTTGAACTTTGGGAATCTTGACTATGTTATATATGCCTGGCTGTAGATTTTTTTGTTTTGTTTTTCTTTTTTGATCATGACTAATTAGAGTTTCTATGTCTCACTTTTCTGTGCATCAGATTCTTTTCACTTCCAGGGAAGTTTTCTGCCATGATGTCTGTGAACACTTTTTTGTTTTGTTTTTTATTTTTATCATTTGTGTTATGTCCTGCTTTTTCATTGACTCTAATCATTCTTTTTTTTTTGAGACAGACTTTCACTATGCAGTTCAGGTTGGCGTTGAGCTCTCTTTTTATCCCAGGCTGGTCTCAAACTCATAACGATCCTCCTGCCAAGTGCTGGGATTATAGGCATGCGCCGCCATGCCTGGCTTGATCACTCTTTGAGTCATTCTTCTTTGCTTCTATTGCATTGATTTCTTTTAATAGCTGGTTTGAGTCTATATTCTATTGTTTTTACAGGCTTTTTCTTATAGTGTCTCTTTTTCCTTGCTATTTTAAAGAAATCTTTCTTTTTGTGATTACTAACCATAAGCCTGTCTTCTATATGTGAGAGTCTGTCTTCACATTGGCTGATTCTGCTATACTTTCTTTTCACTGGAATTTTTATTCTACTGGATATCTGCTTGAATCTGCCGTATGGATTCCAGTTCTTTCCTGTGCTGAGCATTCATGGCTTCCATCATTTTCTTAAGCTTCTCTATTTTTTTGTCTGTATCTGCTCTAGAGTCATTAAGCATGGTTTTCTTTGTGGACACCACCATCTCTATAGTTATCTGAGAAATTATTTCTGATTTGCTTTTGTTCTAGAGCCTCATTCAGTTGCTTTGTAGTTACCACTTCAGAGAGGTCAAGTAGGTGGCTTTCAGAATGTCCCACCTCATTGCCCCTTGAGTTTGGCTTTGGTGAGCTAGATGTCTGGGGTTGCATCTAGTTTCTTTTTTTAGTTTAATTCCTGGGGTGATGATTATTAATTGCCTATGGTGAGTTGCTGTATTGCTAGTAGCTCTTTAGAGCTCTTAGAAAATGACAACTTCTCCAAGGTGTCCAAGTATAGCTGGTCTTGGTTTTCAATCTGTTGCGAGATCCTGCCTCTTCAGTTTGTTGGGGATGAGAAGTTGCTGCCTGCTTGGCCTGGCCCTGGTTTGGCACTGTGCCACAGTATTTTCTATGACCCTTAGTCATTCTCAGTCTTGGAATACCAGAAAGAACAGCTAGTTAGAACAGTTACGTCTCTTTTGGCTATAGTGGTACCATCAGCAATTACAACAGCATCAAAGAGCCTCAAAAATAACAAACTGAGCTAGCCATTAATTTGCCACCCTTAATCATATGAACTAGATTTGTGGTTATATGAAAAAAAAGTAAAATAAACCAGAAAATTATATGCAGTACATAAGTCCTTAATATGTCAGTTTTACCCTCAGCAGTTAAAATTTAAAAGGAGCTAGGTAGAAAATAAAGAATAAGAAGAGAAAGAGATTAGATGTAAGGCCAGAGGACAAAGGGGGGTCACACTGACTTTGGGAAACTGGTGTTGATGCCTGGAGGGAAAGAGAGAAGACATGAAAGAAAAGAACAGAATGACAACCACAAAGAGGCTAGAAACCACATTCACACTCCAGAAGATCAGATAATGAAGGAAGAAAAAGAAACAAAAAATCACAACTACAACAGCCACAAAAAAAGAGAGGAAAAACTCCACCTCCAGGTTTGTTTTTGCTGTTACTGGTAGATAATCTGTGGAGACAGAGTCCAGATCTGTGTTGATTAATCTCAGCAAGCCAGCTTTGAGGGTGGGGGTGGGAGTGGAGGACAAGCTCCATGAGCCTCCATCGTTATTTCCCCTGGAGTTCAGGCTCTGTTCTGAGCCCAGACCCACTCAGCCTCAGCAGTCAGCGTACCTCCTTCCGTGGGCCTGAGCCCCGCTGCAGCCGCTAGATGGAGCCAGCAGCCACCCTGAGTTCTGAGTTCAGCCGGCCCCCTCCAGTCACTTCCTTGAGAGGACCTAGCTCTCAGCAGTTACCCCAGCTAAGTGGACCTTCCTGTCTGCTGCTGCCTGTGTTTCTCTCTCTCACCAGCACAGGTTTCTACCTCTCCTCTTGCACAGTGAGTCCTGATTCCGAAGACATCACCACCAGCTGCCTTCTACTCTTCTTTGAAGTTTCTTTACTTTCTCACTCCAGATCCTTCCTGGGGCCAGGGAACCTACTTCCTTCCTTCTTGTCTTCCAGCACCCAAATGGCGACTCCTGGCTCTTTCTCCATACCCACCAGTGTGCCATGTTGATGCTTCTCCTCCAGTGTGCTTACTCTCTCTTTTTTTTAATTTTATGTATTTAGTATAGGGTCTACAGGTTCTCATAACAGATTGGACTTGTAGTGATTCCTGTTTTTAGCCTCCCAAGCACTGGGACTATAGGTACATGCCACCATGCCCAGTCTCAGTCACTGTCTCAGCACACCCCAGGGGTGGGACCAGCACGGCAGCCACACCAGGATTGAACCTGGGTCCCAGCATCTGCCTAAGTAGGTGCTTTAATCTGCTGAGTTAGCAGGCTGAAAACGTGGAATGTTGAAGTGGAGAACTTGGATGTTTTGAATCTTTAGTTAATCTTACGGTATAATCCTGAGATTTAAAGTCACATATGAAGTAGAGAAAGTATTTCCTGTTGTCCTGATTTGTTATAGACATTAAATGACAGAATGTATGTAAAACATTCCATTAGCTATAAGGAGCTTATGTTAGGTTTTTTTTTTGGGGGGGGTACCAGGGATCGCACTCAGGGTCTTTTGCTTGCCCAGCAGGTGCTTGTGCGGCGGAGCTATCTCCCCGGCCCTCACTCTGTATTTTTTGAGGCCTGCTGTGTGCTTGGTAAGACAAAGGCTGTACACCTGGTGTGATGAGTCCCAGCGAGGTGTATCCCAGGTGAGTGAGGGAGAAACAAGCCACTTGCTCTCTCTGCCTTTGCAGCTGGCGGAGATGGAAGAGGAGCTACGGTATGCACCCCTGTCTTTTCGTAACCCCATGATGTCTAAGCTGCGAAACTACCGGAAAGACCTTGCCAAACTACACCGGGAAGTGAGAAGCTTGCCTTTGACAGCTGCACCTGGGAGCCGAGGAGAAATGAAGTATGGCACCTACACTGTGGAGAACGAGCAGATGGTAAGTGCCCACCCTCTGTTTTTCCCTTAAGGGCTGCTGGTACAAGAATTAAACATTTTACATCTAGGTCATATCAGTCGTGTTGTATTCTTGAGGTTTGCCTGCCCTTATCCTCTCACCTGTGCCCAGCTCCCCTTTTCACACCTCTGGTACCTGCTCTTTAATACATGGCTTTTGTGTGAGATATATATACATACACCTCTGTATAGAGGGAGTGCTCTGTGTAATAATATACATTTGCTGACTCAATCCAACCTGTTGACCTGATTTCTTTCTTCTTCTTTTTTAATCTATTTAGTAGAGGGTCCACAGAGTCTCGTTATACAGATTGGGCTTGTAGTGATCCTCCTGTTTTCAGCCTCCCAAGTGCTGGGATTACAGGCTTGCACCACCATGCCTAGTCTCAATTGCTAACTCAGCTTGCCCCAGGGGCAGGGCCAGCACGGCAAGCTGAGCACAACCTAAGCCACGGTGCTCTGCCTAAGCAAGTGCTTTAGTCTGCTGAGTATCTGGCTGGCCCTGTTGACCTAATTTTAGCAGTATTATTACAAAATTATTCCAAGTTGTTTTTTTACCTCATCGTCAGGTTAGCTGGTAGCTAATATTGGAGAAAACAGGGTGATTCTTGAGAAAACAAGCCAGGTTGACTCTGTAGCCTTCAAGATTGAGATTTACAAAATTCGCTTAACTAAAAACCCATCTCCTACAGCCATCTAGAGAAGTTGGATAATTGAAGGAAGGAAATCAAATATGGTGTGATTCAAACCTATTATACCACGTACTCAGGAGGCTGTCAGGACAGTTGATGCCAGCGTAGGCAACTTAGTGAGGCCTGTCACAAAAATAATGGGACTGGGGAGATAGGTTGGTGGTCTAAGTACCTGGCAAGTGCAAGGACCTGGGTTCAGTTCCCAGTACCACATGCAATGCCAGGTCCCACGTCGTGCTGACCCCTGCTCCCAACGCTGGGGAAACTGAGACAGGAGGATCACTATAAATAGTCTGAGTTGTGTAGTGAAAATCTCTATCGAATAAATAAGTAAAAGAAAATAAAAAGATGTGAGCCAAAATATACCTCTCTGTGAATGAATGAATGGGTGGATGAATGAATGGCTTAAGATATAGCTCAAGTAGTAAGAGTACCACCAAAGAAATCCAAAGATTAAATTCAGTGTGCTCCATTTGGGTTATATCCTGAAAACACAGTACAAAGAACAGACTGCTGGCAAAGTCATATGTAAGAAGTAGGGGGCCACCACCAATGTAGACTGAACTTAGTAGAATGGCAGTAGTAGTGGTAAAGCTTGAAACAAATTCTGCCTCACGATGCATCTTAATTGTAATTTAAGAGACAGAATGGTACTTATTTGACATTGCTGATGTCAAAACAACAGGTTTCAGCAACGTGTGAAACCTAAGTGAACACAGGAGATTGTTACAGATCAGAACCTCACAAGAGATGAAGGGAGACTAGAAAAAGGCAGGTAGATCGTCTTAGGTAGTTGTGAAAGTGACTTGACAGCTGGGAATGGTGGCACATGAGGGTAATGCCAGCACTTGGGAGGTTGAGGCAGGAGGATTACTGAAAGTTCAAGGCTAGCCAGGGCTACATACATAGTTGAAGGCCAGCCTGCACTTTCTCAAAAAAAAAAAAAAAAAAAAAAAAAAAATGACCAAAACAGGGAGAAAGAAAAATTACCTTCTTCCAGTGCCGTGGTATACACCTCTGATCCTAAACTAGTCAAGAAGCTGAGGCAAGAGGAACAAGAGGCCCTGGAATATAGCTTTGCAACTTAAGTGCCTGCCTGGCAAGCACAAGGTCCTGAGTTTGCTCTCTTACCATCCCCCCCCCAAAAAAAAGAGGAGCAAGAGTTCAAGGCCAGCCTGAGCAATTAGATGAGATTTGAGGCTTTTTTAAAAAATTAGTTTCATGTTTTTGTATTTCTTTGAGTCTTGGTCTCAGTGGCTGTCCAGGGGGCCACTAAGTCTTGGTCCCAGTGGCCCTCAGCTCCCAGGCTCAAGCAGGCATGATGAGTGCTGGGACTGTAGGCCCATACTGGTTTGTCCAGCTCCATGAGCTGTACTCTTCAGGGCTTATGTACTACCTCTGGTAAAATTACTGCTTCAGGTCTTTCTGACGTTGATTCATGTGATGTCATTGTCTTTGTTTGCTCTTTCTTTAGCCTAATCATTTGAAATTCTGTGCGTGTTTTTTTTGTTGTTGTTGTGTTTTGTTTTTGGTGGCACCAGGGATTGAACTCAGGACCTTGCACTTGCCGGGCAAGTACTTATTCCACTGAGCTATCTCCCTGCTCTGCCACCACCCCCAGTATTTTTAGAGTCTTCCTTTGACTTCTTTTGAGCTAAGATAACTGGGTTTGCTTGAACCTCACGGGTTTCCTTACCCACTGGCCTCTGTGCTATTAAATGGAAATGCAGTCTGTTACATCCTGGGGCTTCTAGATGACCTGTTGCCTGGTTGTCACTTACTTTGTATGAGTCTCTGTGAGCTGGGCCTTGTGTTGATCTTATGTGCTTGGAGCAGCTTAGAACTTAGAGCTGTACCCACTCTTGTACATGGTGGTTAATTGTGACCTGACAGAGGCTGGGGGTTTAGCCAAGTAGCAGAGCGACTGCCTGGCAAGTGTAAGGTCCTGAATTCAATTCCTGGTAGCACACACAAAAAAATCTGACTTGACAAAGGCTACTTTTGTCCTCGAGTTCTCTGTTTTTACAGTTAGTGGTAGGATAAAATTTCAGTGGAGATTTAGAAAATTAGGGCAGCTGGAGACACAGATGCTCCAGTTTCTGATTCCTCTGAGAGCTTCAAAGTTGTGTGTTTGTTTGGCTGAAGCTGAAATTCTTTTGGGAGCTCACCAGGAGTGTAGCCATGTGTTTTTTTCCTAGAATATGAGTGTGTCTCAGATTTCTTAATGATTTTTTTATGTGCTGAAAAAGAACAGCTTATTCATGGCCCTTCAGTCCTCAGCAGCAGTCAGGTGGGACTCTTCAGCGAGTTAGTCTCTTGTAGAGCTGCAGAAGTTAGCAGCTTGGGCTGTTTGGAGCACAGTTGTCTGCATTCTCAGGTGATTCCTACGCCTCCCAAGCTGCCTCTGAAGCTATTGTCCATAGGGACTGATTCAGAGTCACTGTAAACCTGGGGAGAATGCTTGTTTTTAAACGTCTCCCCTTGCTTCGCTTACATGTAATACACAAAGAAGTGGCCGATATTGGGGTCCTATTTATGGGCCTCCAGGTTCTTTGTGACCTTGAGCGGGATTTTACAGTTCATTAGCATGTTTTGTTCTGTCTTAAAAACTATAGTTGGGGGCTGGTGAGATGGCTCAGTGGTCTAAAGCACCTACTTAGAACAAGCTTAGCAAAGCACAGGGACCACGGTTCAATCCCCCAGCACCACATGCCAGCCAGCCCCGCCCCCTGGTGGGCTGAGCTGGCCACACACACACAAAATAAATAAATAAATAAATATTAACCAAAAAAAAAAACAACTATAGTTGGGTGGTGCTGGCCCTGCTGCATGCCTGTTATCTCAGTGCTTGGGAGGCTGAAAACAGGAGGATCACTACGAGTCCAGTCTGTGTAATGAGATTCTGTACTAAAATACAAAAAAAAAAAAAAACCACAGTTGTGCCAGGGATACGGCTCAGCAGCACAACACTAGCCTTGTGAGCACGAGGTCCTGAGTTGGATTCCCAGTACAAAAAAAAAAAAAAATAGCCTTAAAACTAGAGTTGGCCCTCGAGATCCACAGGTTTTTCCTCTGCTCCTCCAACCCACCTTGACTTAAAGTCTTAAACCCCAAAATTCAAAACTGTGGCTATACTGAACATGTACAGACTTTGTTCTCATTATTCCCTAACGGCACAGTATAACTACTATTTACATGGCACTTACATTGTATTAGATATAGGCAAGCTGCAGGCAGGTATGGTAGGGCTTGGGGATGTAGCTTAGTGGTAAAGTATGTGTAATGCCCTGGGTTTGATGACCAATCCAGGAAAGACAGACAATTCAGGTAAGAAAGGCAAACGTTGTATGCAATACTATAACTTTTTATTGATATTGGGGATCGAACTTTGGACCTTGTGTTTGCCAGGCAGGCGCTTAAGCTCCTGAGCTATATCACCAGCCCTCTACCTTTTTATTGAAGGGAGCTGAGCATCCATGGATATTGATATCTACAAGAGTCCTAGAACCAACTCCCTTCAGGTACCTAGGAACCACTGTAATGAAAATGTTGCTCCGTGTGTCCTTTTTTAAACAAGGAGTTATACGGAACACATTGGCTGTGAACTCACAGTGGATGAGGTCTAATGTTTCCCCCTTCTATCGCCCTTTAGAATCGGCTACAGTCTCAGAGGGCACTGCTTCTACAAGGCACTGAAAGCCTCAACCGCGCCACCCAGAGCATTGAACGGTCACATCGGATTGCCACAGAGACTGACCAGATTGGCTCGGAAATCATAGAAGAGCTGGGGGAGCAGCGCGACCAGCTGGAGCGCACCAAGAGCAGGGTAGGCCTGGGTGGGCTGGGAAGGGGCAAGAGGGGGATGCAGGTGGGCTACACCGTCAGGCCACTCACACTAAGTAGGACCGGAAGCTGCTGAGTTCTAAATGCAGAGAAATAACTGGTTTTGGATTCTTAGTGCTTTTCTAAATTTTTAGTTTGCTTGGTAGAAAGAAATCTTTAAAAAATAGTATCACTCCTAAAATTTAGAGGTTATTGGGAAAAAAAATGATTTCAAGCCTGAAAGAACCTGATTTTTGCATTTATAAGATTACAGCCTAATCCATCCTTAATATTTCCTGTCTTCCACTTTGGCAAGAGATATGTCAGAAGACACACAACAGTGAAGCAGAGGGAAAAAAAGACAAGGCCTTCAACCTGATTTTTTTTATGTCAGTGGAATATTGTTATAAAAATGTACTTTTAAGACCTTGTCATTTAGAACCAAGACTATTTTCCACATGTCAAAAATAATACTTTCAGAGCTAAGGGTGGGAGTGCACATCTGCGTTCCTAGGACCTGGGAGGCTGAGGCGGTGGGGTCACTGCTGTAACTACGTGACCATATGCATTAGAAGCCTCTGGGACTGGTTCAAGAGAGGAATTTGGAAAGGTTTGGAGATGCCAAGCAACAGAAGCCCTGGGATTCTGTAAGTCAAGCTTGATACAAGCTTCTGGTGAGTGCCCAAAAGACCAGAATGCTAATAGAAATAGATGGTAAAGGCCAGGTTTAGTGACATAGTAAAACTTTCTCTAAATTTAAAAGCGGGGTAGGAGGGTATGTTGAAGATCTAGCTCAGTCCCTGTTTAATTCCTAGTGTAGAGGGGGAAAAAAAGTGTCTATGATTGTAGATGTTTAAGTCATAGACTAGACTGTGACTCTTTACTATTATCCAAAAAAAAATGGGTCATTGTGAGAGGAAATATAGAGACCAGATAGTTCTCTTGGGGAGTCTATCATGTCACCAAACTCTGAAAAGTAACTCATTCCTTCCTTTCTATAAATGAGTTAATAGCCATAGGAATTTTCAAAAAAGTACCAGCTGTCAGTGGCATGTGTTGTCTTTATTGGATGTCAGGGATTGAGCCCAAGGCCTAGCATATGCTAGCCAAGTGCTGCATGCCAGCCAGAACAGCTTCTTAGCAAGATGCAAATCCAAACTGAAAAAACACTGGGATCAAGATTGAGAGGGGAAAATACTAGCTCACTGTGAGGGTTTGAGATTTTCTTACATATTTTAATTGCTACAGTTTTTCATTTTTTTTTTTTTGCGGAACTGATGATTGAACTCAGACCCTTGCGCTTGCCAGGGAAGCGCTTATTCTACTGCGCCATCTCCCCGGCCCAAATTTTTCATTTTAAACCTAGGTCAGAGTGATACTCTTCCCATTTCAGTGAAAATTCACAAGTGCTAAATTATGGCCAGCTATGGAGATTGACGTTCATTTGCAAACTGCTTGACTTTAGATTTTCACACACCAGACAAGGTTGAATTTCCAGGCCAGTGAGTGAGCTGAGAAGCTGAGTGATCACTTCACCATGGCACTGCAGAATGGGAACATTCCATTGAAATATCCACCTAGATTAGGAGTGATTAAAAGGGAAAGGTCCACATAGGCTAATGTGGCCTTTCAGAATTCACAGCAGGTAGTGCCATTGGAGGTAAAGACAGAAAAAAGTAACTAGATCCCCGCAGTGGTAATCCACTAGTCTACAAAAACAAACACTAACTCAGGCAGCTGTCCTGGAATTTGGATGATGAAATCAAATCTTAAATTGCTTCATAATCACTGGTGTAGACGAGAAACCTCCCTGTTCTGAGTAGCTCATCCCAGCCAGAAGTCCACCCCTTCACAGCCCTGGGAAGGGCTAGTTCCCTGGCCACCTTAATACCAAAGCATCTTGTCCTTTCTAGTCCTTCTACTTATACTCAGGCCATCATGTAAAGTGGTCTGAGTTCTTGCCCTTTTTAATATATTCCTCATCTTAAGTTCTATATAGTATGTAATTTTTTTTTAAATTATTTATGTGTGTGTGTGTGTGGCCAGCTAGCCCAGCAGGGGGTGGGATGGCTGGCATGTGGTGCTGGGGGATTGAACCGCGGTCCCTGGGCTTTGCTAAGCTTGTTCTAAGTAGGTGCTTTAGACCACTGAGCCATCCCACCAGCCCCTATAGTATGTAATTTTGAAAAAGGAGAAATAACTGGTATTTTTTCTTCTCAGCTGGTAAACACAAGTGAAAACTTGAGCAAAAGTCGAAAGATTCTCCGTTCAATGTCTAGAAAGTAAGTTTTTGCTCATATCAGCTTTATAATAAAATTTTCTGTATGCAACTGTGGTCATTATGTATTAAATTTCCTAAAATTTCTATATAACAAGGTACCACTCTGATTAAAACCACAGAATTCATTATTCCATGATTTTGGAATCTCTGAGTTTAAAACTAAGATGTTAGCACGGTTGGTTCATGTTCTGAGGTACTGAGGGTTAGGACCTTAACATCTTTGTGTGGGATGGGCAGCACAAGGGTAAATTGTACATGCCATCTTTTTTTTTTTTTTTGTGGTGGAACCGGGTATTGAACTCAGGCTCTTGCGCTTGCCAGGGAAGCACTTATTCCACTGAGCCATCTCTCCAGCCCCTGTATATGCCATCTTGAAGCTTGCTTTTTGGATAAGACATTTAAATTGGTAAACTGTACCACATATTGCCTTCCTTAATGTGAATGGGGCTAATCAAATCAGTTAATAGAACGAAAAGAAGAAAGGGAATCCTCGCAGACAGGCTTTAGACTTCATCCACGCCATTGTCTCCTCTGGGTCTCCAGCCTGCTGACCCATGGTGCAGATATTAGAACGGGCAGTTTCCGCAATTGTATCCACCAGTTCATGACAAATCACACGGCCGCTCCAAATCTCATGTTTGTCTCCATGGGAATAGTAGATCTTCATACTCCTTGAAATACTTTTAGAACTTCATTATAAAGTAGTTTCTACTACTATTACTTAGTGCATGTTTTTGGCTCTGCTTGCCCTTCACGGTAGTCAAGCCCTTTTCTGAAAGTCCTGTCTTGTAGCCGGAAGACTTTTTTTTTTTTTTAATTTATGTGTGTGTGAGTGTGTGTGTGTGTGTGTGTGTGTGGCACCAGCTCAGCCCACCAGGGGGCGGGGCTGGCTGGCATGTGGTGCTGGGGGATTGAACCGCGGTCCCTGTGCTTTGCTAAGCTTGTTCTAAGTAGGTGCTTTAGACCACTGAGCCATCTCACCAGCCCCCCAGAAGACGTTAAAACAAAACAAAACAAAAAGTAACCTGAGGTAAGTATTGTCACTGAGGCAGAAACTGGGGTTAGGTTGGGCATGTGGGTGTCCTTTGGCACGTGTAAAACAAAAATACAATTCGTGATGTATCTAGCAGGACAGGTAGTTTTCCTAGATAGGAGTTCATTCCTCATGAAGTAGGGAGGAACCTAGAGTGAATATGACAACAAGAATTAGGTTCTTTCTATAAACAAGTCGGTAACTTTGTAAAGTTATATAGATAACTAGAAAAGATTCAGCTCCATCCAATTAGAGACAAAAAAGCTGAAATCATAAATCCTGTGGAAATCCAGAAGATCAGTATCTACTTTATAAGATGAAAAACAAATGGACAGAATCCTGGATACATGAATTAGCAAAGCTGAATCAAGAAGATACAAAAATTCTGAATAAACCAGTATCAGGCAACAAAGTTGAAGATGTAATTCAGAACCTACCAACAAGCTGGATATGGTGGCACAAGCCTATGATACAGCACACAGGAGGCTAAGGCAAGAGGATTGGTGTAAGTTTGATTCTGTCCTGCTCTATAAAATTCAAGGCCAGCACAAACTGCATAGTGTGAAACCCTGTCTTAAAAGAGTCAAAAAAATAAAAAAATGCAAAACAAAACTACCAACCAAGAAAGCCAGGCCCTGATAAGTTTGCTGAATTTTACAAAAAAGAAAATACTACTCCCAAATTCATTCCCAGAAGCATTACCCTGATACCAAAACCAGAGGACCCAACTAACAGAATATGCCAGTGTCCCTAATGAACATAGACATGAAAATCCTCAATAAAACACTGGCAAACAATGCAGCGAATCATCAAGATGATTATATCTCATTACCAAATAGAATTCACTCAAGATCAGGGGTGGTTCAGCATACATAAATCAATACATATTGTACACCATATTAACAGGGCCAAGGACAAAAACCCTATGATCATCTCTAAAGACCCAGAAAAGCATTTGACAAAGTCCAACACTTGTTCGTGATGAAAACCTACAGAAAATTAGAATAGATGGTCTTTATCTCAATCTGGTAAAAGCCATCTGTGACAGACCAACAACCAACATTATATACTAAATGGATAAAAATGGTTTTTATTCAAAATCAGAAACAAGGATACCTACTGTCATCACTATAAGACCTCTCACATTTAAAGAGCCAGTCCAAAATGGGCATCTGAAATACACACTTCAGATGAAGTAGAAATGATTATGGAAAAATGTTCAATATCACTTGTCATTTGAGAAGTGCACATTAAAACAATTGCAAGATTCCATTTCACTCCAGAAAGAATAAGAGATCAACCAACAAAAAATCCTGGTGGGAATGTGGTGGGGGAGGAATCCTCCTCCCCTGTTGGTAGAAATGTAGACTGGGGTAACACTGGAAATGTGGTGATTCCTCACACACAAACTAGAGATTCCATTTGACCCAGCTATTTTGCTTGTTGCATCTTCTGGAGAGCAAAGCCTAATGCAGGGCTACACACATACCCGTGTGTCTAGCAGCACTGTTGGTAACAGCTGTATCTTAGAAACAGCCCAGATGCCCATCAACCAGTGAATGGATAAGGATGTGGCTTTTTTTTTTTTTTTTTTTTTAATACAATGGAGTACTGCTCTGCTATAGAGATGTATAAGCTTGAGATATTTCTAGCTAAATGGCTGCATGTTGAAGCCATACTGCTAAGTGAAATAAATCGGACACGTTTACATACTGCATTGATTATGTGGTGTGAGAAACTAAAAATATAAGGACCAAAATGTATGACACTGGGAAATGGGAAGAAAATGTTCAAATGAGGAGGGGAAGAGGAAAAAGAAGGGATGGGGAGAAAAAAGAAAAAATTCGAAACAAAGCTTTTGTAAAGGTCAGCCAGGTTGCTCATCAGATTAAAGTGCCTTAGGCAGACTGGATCCCTGGAGTGTGCTGAAATGGAGATTGAAGCTGGGTGTGGTGGCACATGCCTGTAATTCCAACACTTGGGAGGCTGAAAGGAGGATCACTACGTCTGATCTGTGTAGTGAGACCCTGTACTAAATACATAATAAAACATAAGAGGGGTGGAAGGGAGAGGAGGGGATTAGGAAACAAACGTACAAATTTCCTATAGTGCTATGTATATCTAAAACGTACCAGGGGCTGGTGAGATGGCTCAGTGGTCTAAAGCACCTACTTAGAACAAGCTTAGCAAAGCAGAGGGACCGCGGTTCAATCCCCCAGCACCACATGCCAGCCAGCCCCACCCCTGGTGGGCTGAGCTGGCCACACACATACACACACACACAAATAAATAAAATTAAAAAAATAAATAAAACGTACCAATAAAAAATAACCCTAATACAACTGGATAGGAGAGTATAGTGAAGAAAACAAATTTATAAGAGGCTGAAAGGCAGTGACCTTTCAGTTAGCCTAAAAGCAGGACCCACACCGACTCTGGTACGAGCCTGTCCCAGTCCCTTCTGCCAATCTACAGTCACACCTGTGTTATGTAACTGCTGTGGCTTTACAGTGCTAGCGAGATTGTATTTTTTGTTGATTCAAATGATTTGAAGACATTTTAGTCAGATGATTTTTATGCTTTGTACCCGTTTTCAACATTTCCATGAAGTAGACAGTGTTATCTTTAAGTGACAGCTAACTTTATGAGTTGTCACCAGCCAAAGAACATTAAGAGCATTTTGTCGTGGCTGTGATTATGTAAAAAAAAAAAAGTCAGTCTGCCTCACACTGACCTTGGGTCAAACCCCAGAATATTCAGGAGAGCAAGACAAGCGGCTGTGTAAGTACTGACCATTACCTTTGTTTCTTTGTGCAGAGTGACAACCAACAAGTTGCTGCTTTCCATCATCATCTTACTGGAGCTCGTCATCCTGGGCGGCCTGGTGTATTACAAATTCTTTCGCAGGCACTGAACTTCCTGTAGGAAGAGGGGCTCTGTGGGCCAGAACCGTGACCCTGTGGATACTGTGTTAGGCAGGATGTGTACTAAGCATGTTGCTGCTGTGGGCTGACAGCCCAAGGATGCACTGTGCAGCCAGACTGTGGGAAGAGGGGGTCCAACAGAAAGCCACGTAAGTGTGAAGGAAGAGGGACAAGACCAGTGTGATATACCAAGGTAATAAACGTTTATGATCTCTTCAAATTTACATAATACTACATTAATACCTTGTGAACTGCAAAAAAAAGAAAAACATTTACAGTAGTATTATTGGTCACCAAAATAGAGGGGAAACTTTACAAATGTGGGAATGCACAGATGTTCTCTTTAAGGCAGTACTGACCCAGATAGCCATTTATATCTGTCCCCTCAAAATGCTTCACAACTCTGGAATTCCCATTGTGAAATATTCTAGCATACAGTATTTCCTAAATTCTCACACATTCTTTGTTTTCTGACTCATCTGGTGAGCTCGGAGTAGGAAGTTGGTTATAGATGATGTGCCCTCCTTCCCTTGTCTGACCAAAACTTGAAGCAATCACATCCACAGCGAGGCTGGCCGTAGCCTTTGCTTCTTCCTCTGAAGTAGCCAAGTGAGGATTGACCTCAACCAGATCCAGTGCTGATAGCAACCCTGTAAGAACGAGGTAGACAGAACTTCAGAAAGGTCCTCGCTGCCACTTTTACCTTGCCTGGATGAAGAGAACATGCAGTCATTGAGTGGTATAAAATTTGGCAGCAAGTGCCTTGTATTCCATCCTCTTGGCCACAGATTTAAACACTGATCTAGCAGGAGGAGGACTGAAAGAAACCGAAATCATCTCTGCTCAGCTAATAGGCAAAGCTGTCAGGCTTTGTGACCTCATACCTGTTTAGGTTTTTTTTTTTGCAGTGCTAGGGAAGGAGCTAAGGGCCCCACCTTTACTTCCTAAAGCGCATAGCACCTGCCTAAAATGTAGTTCTCCCAATAGCTTTATTTCTGCCTCCTTCCTGCATGAGTGCTGAGCGGCTTCCATGTCTGACAGTTTTTCATCACCTACATACTGGCCCAGCATCTGGTATATGGTCAGGGAAGACTCAGCCATATCTTCGCTATTTGGATTCCAGCTGCCTTCTCTAAGAGTTTGTGGACTTGTGCCCAAGTTCCTTTGGCCCATAGTGAACTGAGAGAAGGGGATAGCCCTTTCAGATCTGCCCTCTCCCCTCACCACCTCATACCTGTCTACTTCTCTAGAGAATTTAGGTTTTTAATTGGTTATTCTCAGTGAAGTTACTCTACCTCCTTAAGAGCCACCTGAGCAAACTGGTTTTCAAAAATACAGTATTGGGGGCTGGGGAGATAGCTTAGTGGCTGAAGTGCCTGCCTGGCAAGCATGAAGTCCCGAGTCCAATAATCAGAATACAGTATTGGAGAATATTAAGGTGGCTGTCAAGTCCAGAATCTTGAGTGAATTTACCTAAGTCTTGATATTACATGATTGTAAGCTATTTAATGCTGTGGTATCTGTTTGGTGTCTTACCTTCTTAGGAGCGCATAGTTGAATGTACTGCGGAATACTGCCGTGACCAGGTGTTACCATGGCATTTCTGTCTTTTATTGCATATGTCCTTGTATCCTGATAAATTATGTGTCTGAATTCCACTGGCTTAAACTGTACCTTTTTATTATTTTTGGTCCTGGGAATCAAACTCATGACTTCATACTTACAAGGCATGCCTGTGCCACTAAACTGTATTCCTGGCCCCTTAACCTGTACCATTATTATATCCCAGAAGTAGTAATGCAAAGGATTTGCATTGTTAAAAATACATATTGGGGCTGGGGATTTAGCTCAGCAGAATGCTTCGTTTGGTCCTTGATATCAAAAATAAACTTCAACTAAAAATACATATTACCTATATCTCCAGATTTTGGCCGTCGTTCAAGATTAAGCAGACTGCTCATGTAGTTGGTAGTGTCATACAGTCTTTTAGGGTTTTTTTTGTTATTTTTGAGATAGGGTCTCATTGTGTGTTCCAGGCTGGTCTCAGACCATCAGCAACCTTCCTGCCTCAGCTACTGCCCAAGTGCTGGAATTACAGGCATGCACTACTACAGCCAGCTACTTTTTGGAATTAAGTAATGGGGCAGTAGGGAAAGGAGGCACAGGGCATGACCACTGCCACATCTCAATGCTGCTGGTTGTTAACTGCTCAGAGTGCTTGGGAAACACCGTCCACTGACCCGTGCACCTTGGCAGCATCTTGGTTGGTAGGTCTGAGGAGACACAGTACTCAGAGACAGTACTGGCATAAAGTCCTGCGAGGCTCCACAGCTTAGTCCTGTTTCTATCCCAGCTAGTCAAGGGCTCCCTAGAGCTCTGGACCTTTCAGCCTGGGTCCGTATGCTTCTTTCTTTACCTGTTTCAGAATAGTTACCAAAGCAGTACCATGCAGTAGCTTCAATTTTGGAAGGAACCGTCATTTAAAGTGGCCTTAAAACGAGAAGCTTTCTGACAGATGGACACTGCACACACCCAACAAGCACTGGCAGCCACTCGATAATTAATACCACTCTGTTCCCAATCATCCAGCTGTGTTTCTCTTTATTAAAGTGCTTATCAAATGAGCTCAGACAGAACATCCTAGCTAAACTGAACCAAGATACTGTCCAGCTTGTAATCTCCAAAGAGGTTTATCTCTAGATTCTCAACTCACAACAAACCAACAGCCTCTACTATTAGAGTACAAATTGTGACTACTTAGCTTTGTTTTCTAATCTACCCTTAGATGGCTCATACATGAGGAACTATCAGCTTGGCAGTTCTTAAAATGTTTCATGTGGACACATTTTCTTACTTATGATTACCTTAGCATGTATCTTACTACAATCCAGTTCCAGATATGCCTCTATGAATATTTTTCTTATTGTTTGGCCATATGATTTTTAGCTATTCAAGATTAAGCAAAAGCAGTCTGCAGTGATACAGAATAGAAAGCATCGCCTGTAGGCAAGAATCAGCAGTATATATAGAATGGACTTAGCAGGTTGCAGACCTTTGCTCCATACCTGTATTGTGTATTTCTTCACCAATATACACGCCTTCTCGATAGGTCAGTCCCCCTACCACAGGAGTTCCTGTGGCTGGAGCCAGCGTAGGGTCAAATGCATCAATGTCAAAACTCAGATGGATTGGTCTTTGTCTTCTGGAAAGAGGTCAAAAGAATATGTTTTTGGTAGGGTTTGTAGACTCCTTCCTGTGAAGGCAGCTCAGTTTTGTTCCTGTTGATCCTGGTACAGTGGGGCTCAGTTCACAAAGTAATTCCAGTTACGACCAGAATAATGGAATTAAGCTAATGGAATTAAGCTTATGACCTGAGGTACATAGTTCCCTCACTTACCACGTAGGTTATGTTCCAGATACCACCACGATAAGTGAAAATCAGCGAAGTAGCAATGTATTTTAGCATTTGTATGTATTTTAAGGCTTTATAAACCCTTCCCACACTCTCAAAGCTTTCCCCCACTTTTAAAAACACTTCTAATGTTCTTAACCATTTTCTAAACTTGTACATTTATGTAATTTTAACAACATACACTGCAAAATCCTGTGATATAACAAAATATCCACAATAAATAATTTAGATTAATATTTTTTTTCTTCTTTTTCTTTTTGGTGGAACCGGGGATTGAACACAGACCCTTGCACTTGCCAGGGAAGCACTTATTCTACTGAGCCATCTACCTGGCCCCAGATTAATATTTTTTGAAAGCTTGCAAAATAATGAGTCTGTGAATGTCAAACCACAAAATAGTGAGGGACTACTGTATCACTGTATAATACAGCACATTTCCAGGTTTCTTATTCTTGGTAACCACTGAAACATTAGTTTCTTACTACTTTATGATATCGGCATGTGTTCTACATGCCTCACTGGATTAATTCCAGCTTATGTTTGTGGACTTAGCCTGGGCACAGAGCCTCTTACAGTGGAAACTGTCAGTTTCTATCATGAACACTTCATTTCTGTAGGAGACTGGGCTCTAATATATTGAATTTAAGTTAGCCTCATCAGGGTCATAGTGCTTTTTATTCTGAGTATAACAGCAGCTGAGCTTAATGCTACATTTATGTCTGTGAACCTAATAGCTTGTAATTCCAACTTGAATGCGGGTGTCCAGTGGCTGATCCTAATGCCCAACACCTTTACACCAAAATTATTTTTTTTTTTTGGTGGAATCGGGTATTGAACTCAGGCCCTTACACTTGCCAGGCAAGCGCTTATTCTATTGAGCGATCTCCTTAGCCCCAAATAACTTTCTTAACGGCTTAGGAAGTGACATCAATTACTCAGAAGTCTTGATATTGGGAAAATGCTTCCCCCTCTCCCCCTTTTCAGACAGGGTTTCATGAAATTATTTGGGCTGACCAACCTTGTGATCCTCCAGCCTTAGTAACTGGGATTACAATTGTGTGCCACTCCTCTTAGTAGGAAATGCTCTTTAAATTAGCATTTGATTAACTACCAGGATTTAGTTAATATAAAGCTCAGATGATACCATATGAGGCTGAAAAGAATGGGCCACTGGAACAATGAATGCTTCTTGGTTCAAAAGACAAGCGTTAAGGGCCAGGCTATATAGCTCAGCAGCACAGTTCCTGCGTGGCAAGTGCAGGGTCTTTTTTTTTTTTTTTTTTTTTTTTTTTTAAAGTGCAAGGTCTCGAGTTCAATTTCTAGTACCAAAAAAGCATTAAAATGGAGGAGAAAAGTTCATCAGGTATACCAGATCTGAACAGTGATTTCAGGGAAGTCCTCTCCCCATCTGAGGAAGAATATACTTTTATCTTTTTTTTTCTTTTTTTGGCAGAACCGGGGATTGAACTTGGGCCCTTGCACTTGCCAGGCAAGCAGTTACTCTACTGAGCCATCTCCCTGGCCCCGATTTATCTCATACTGTACTTTTATAAAATATTTGAAATTTTTGTGAGTTTTGCTTTTGTTTTAAAAGTGAAGTTTCAACGTTCAAAAGACTTAAGCTTCCCCGTACCGCACAAGGCCTAGCAGTAGACACACATTTCAGTTACTTACTTGCCAATCAGCAGATCAAATGTCTGTTCCATGACCTTCTGTATACCAAGTCGATCAATATCTCGCATGGAAAAATACTGAATATCATAGTTCTTTAGAATAAAGCTGGTGAGATATAAAGGAGTTCTTAGTTTAAAAAAATACTTTTAAGCCTGGTGTAGTCACTCAATGTGGTGG